CAACAACGACAACAACAACAACCACAACCCCAGGCACACGCACAAGCACAGGCACAAACACGACCACGACCACAACCACGACCACCAACGCCACCAACAGCCACAGCACCACCACAACCAAGAAGAAGAAGAAGAAGCAGAAGAAGAACAATAAGACTTCGAAAACTAAGAACGATAAGAAGAAGGAGAAGACGCAGCCACAACCACGAGGACAACAAAAACGACGACGACTCGGAGGAGACTGACTGCAGAGGGAATCTACGAATCGAGAAGCAGTCGCTTTGGGCCTGATCGAACTGCTTGGCATACTGAGGCGCGACATCCTGCAACTCTGGGCCATATCTCAGGCGAACCTGACGATAGCTTCAGAGCAATCGGCGATGTTTGACTGCAGAGGGGGAGGGAGGGCGAGAGGGAGAGGGGGAGAGAGCGAGACCTTCGAAACTAGGCAGCAAACTACTCCGGGTACGTTGGCTTCGACTTTGGACTTTGCAGTGCTGGCCAGCTTCCTTTCTGTCCCTCGCGAGATGGGCTTCCTGTCTAGGGCCATGCGTAATTCAGATTGCAGGGCTTCCACAAACCCGACAGCCCCCTGCCACACCAAATATCAAGCCGCGCAATGAATTCACGGCGTGCAGCCTCGACCAGTGCACCATACCGGAGCTCGACCCAGTCCACCTGGCAACGAGGCCAGGATTTCAGGCCTATCTCCGTCTATCCATGCCAGTACATGAGGTTAATTGTAAGTGTCTTCGCGATTCACATGTCGACGATGAAGGCTACAATTGAAAACATAACATTTTCCAACGCGAGGGCGGCAATGACTGCGACAATCGAACATGCAGCTGATGCAGCTGGTACGATGACGTAACTGCTGATGATGATGGTGATGATGGTGATGATGATGATGATGATGATGATGGTGGCGCTGATGATGATGATGACGGTGGTGCTGATGATGATGGTGGTGCTGATGATGATGATGATGATGATGATGATGATGATCGCCATCCTCGTCATCATCATCGTCATCATCATCATCATCATCCCATGGGCAGCTGCTTTGTTGCGATGGGGAAGCTGTGGTCGTTGCTGCTATTGAACAGACCCACGGCCCGCACCATAAGTCAACAGGTGCCGTAAGTGATGTGGCGATTGCAAACAAGAGCTATCTCTCGTGCTCACTACTGGCTATTGGCTATTGGCTATTGACCATTGCAGGCGTGACGGGTGCTTGAGTGTCCTTTGTGCAACTGTTTCTGCTCCGACGCTGCCGCTAACACCGCTGCTGCTGTTCCGACGATTGGCGCCAGGACTCTTATTTACAGGGACTGGGAAGTTCATGACACCATGTCACTATGTTTGCTACGGCCATCATCCAGTGGCCTGAAGCCCGAGCAGTGAGACCGCCCCTTGGAAGCCTTGAGGATGGCATCGCCTACGCACTTCGGGACGAAGGCACCGCCATCTGGCCTGCAGGAGTTGATCCACGGATTTGGGCAGCGAAAGCAGTCGTCTTGGGACTCCAGGCGAGGGTTCGAACTTCGCCGGCCTGAGGGGTTCGTTGTTCTCGCCTTGCTTGGCATACACGCCCTCATCCTCACCGAGCCTCGCAGCGTCAGAAGCGTAAGCATGGCATGCGGAGCTCAGTGGAGGGTCCCGCAAACAGCACACGACAGCCATCTCGCCACAAGCACGCCTTCAAGTGCATCCACTTGCCGCGAGTTGTGTCACGGATCTTCTGGCACGTGGCTCCAGTGCTAGGCTTTTGCCTACTTGAAACGGTCACGAGTATCTCGTGATTTTGAAAACGCCTCCGCCATACGTCTGTTTGACTGCGGGGCTCGAATTTCCTTTCCGGATTTGACTGTACACACTACAATGATACAAGTTCCAGAAGAGGTGGACCCTTTTGCAGGCTGTAAAAAAAGGTCACGCCAAGCCTGAAAAGTTGCCTTCAAAGGGCAACCCTGGATGCAGCTTCGGTTACCCGACTTGGAACTGATTGGTCTGCTGCATTTGGAGTCTCGGGATCTGGAGATGGATCTGGAACTGAGTCAACCTCAGTTCTCGATCCCTTCTGGCCGACCCTCTGTCTCACTTTGTTCCTCAAAGCTACGGCTCTTGTCACCACAGTGTCCGAGGAAGGATCAAACGCATCAGCAGTGTCCCTTGAGATCCGCCAAACAATGTACATCACTCCAACCATGACCAAGGCAAGGCTGGCCACCCAAACGTAGTAGCTGGCAATAACCTGAACGCTGCGGACCGCTCGGAAGCACAGCGAGTCCGTGAGGCCCTTCCAGAAACTTCGCATGAAAGAGCAGTCAAGCTGGTCAAGCAGAGAGAAGACCGGATCGACAAGGTGAAGATATATAAGAGCCTTTAAGTCATCGGCCACTCGATACACGAGTTCTTCAACGACATCATCCATGTACTGGAAGATTCTGTAAAACCACAGATCGAAAGACCTCACATTTTCCTCAAACTCAGTCATGGTACACGTCTGCTCAAAGAAGGTCACCGTGTTGTTCGGATGCACGCAGCTGTTGATCCAGCTGCCATTCACTTTGTACATGTCTTCGACATCACATATGGTACCAGCAGGTGCCCCTGGCTTTTGCAAATACCTGCAGCGAAATAATGGCAGTGTCCTCAGAGGCAACTTCCGCTCGATCACGAAGGCTTTGGCTGCCTCGCATGCACCTGAGCCGTAATTCGACACCGAACAATCGCCTTCCAGGCGTACAGGACAGTCCCACACAATCTGGTCGTCGAACAGGCCTGGGATGCGGGGCCCACCACCTGTTGCGATGCCATCGACCACCATCGAATTAAGGCCAGGAGCGTAAACGTTGGCCATGACTTCCGGAAGACTTGCTGGCAAAAACAGATCATCACACAAGATACTGATTGGGTAAAAAACTATCGGCATCGAGCTGTAGACAGGATCAGCCGCAATGTCGCTTGGGACGGGCCAAAACATGGCCTTCATGTTGACGCTTCTCACGTAGCCTCGAAACTTTGTCAAGACGGGATTGTCTGCAAGTCTTAATGGCTGGTTGGCCATGACAAGCTCCAGAAGATCGAAGGCGCCATTGATCTGAGAAACGACGTAGTCCGACATCAAGCGACGAAGAGAGCTCATGGTACCCGGGGCCTTAAAGGGATCGGGAAGCTCAAGGATGTCTGCCACATTGCGCGTTGCATTGGTTGCATTGCTTTCGATGTCGGACTTCAAGCTCATGCACTGATCTGCAAGCGTCACAGCCAGGCGGATGCTTTCGTCCGTCGGCACACCAAGCGACTCCAGCAGGGTCTCACCTGTCTGCTGGTCGAAGTCCACCATGGCCAGGCACACTCCTCCACCCACCATCGAAACAAGCAGGGTAATCCCTCCAATCAAGAAAAGAGTCCCAGCGAAGATGTAGGAAGCACACATGGAAGTTCCACTGCCTACACGAACAACACAGGGATCTGGCTCCTCGCCACCCCTGTGACAGCGGCTGTAACAGATCAAGGCTAGGAAGCCAAGAGTCACGACCAGAATTGCAAGGAAGAGAACTCCAAGAAATCCGTAGTACAGGATGGAAGATTCTCCTGCAAGCGCTTCAGTGCCCTTCTGAAACCCATCGTCTGCCTCTCTGACGAAATAGCCCAGCTGCTGCAGCATCTGGTCCTTCATAGCCTCAACTGGTTCCTTTGCTTCCTGGATTGTGCGACGAAAGTTGGCAACCCGCTCGCCGTCAAGCTGCGCTTCTACCTCCCTTCTGACCGTGTTCATGGCCAAGGCGACACCATCGTCAAAGAGGCCAACGAGCTCGACCAGGGCAAGGCTCAAGGGCTCGCACACCGCGCATGTATGGAAATAGCCTGAAGGATTTTGGTTATGGCCGTTGTCTAGGAGGAGCTGCAAGGAGACCAACATGTCCCTTACCAGGTTCACGGCGCGCTCTAACTCGACGGTCGCATCCAAAAGCCCACGCACCCCCTCAAGGAAGGCTGAGTTCGGATCAAGGCCCCTAGAAAGCTCATCCAGGGCCTCCCAAGCCGGGACAAGGCCCACGAAGTTCAGCGACGGATTGCCGGCAACAGCGTCTTGAAGAAGCTGTGCTGAATAGCAGCCTGTTCCTTGGATGCCCTGCTCGATGCTCTCATGCTCTGCGGCACTCATAGCACAGAGGCTAACAACCACCGCGGCGAGCACCGCGAAGCTTATCCACAGGAGAAGTTGGAATGCAAGGACCCTGCCAAATTTCCACTTCGCCTGGCAACAGCAGCAACAGCACCTCATGCAGCACGGGCAGCATACGAACCAGCAAGCGAAATGCCACACAACCCACAGCAACACAGCCATTAGAAGTGGTGTTGCTTTGCGAATCGCGAATATTGGAGTCCCTGTGTCTTGCAGTACGCTGGCAAGGTTTTGGGTCTCGCCTTCCCGTACTGCAGCGGCTGTCTGTAAGAGGACATCGTAAACAATGTTGCCATTCCCTGCACTCAATTCCAAAGTCTCGCGGGACTCCTCATAGTTGATTTGGCTGCCCTCCACTGGACAGTACTTCTCAACAAGCGCCTGGGCCTGATCAAGTGTCTGCTGATCTGTCACACTTTGGGCCCAACCTGTCACCACACCTACCAGCACAAGGGTTTTCAGCATGGCAACACGTGACCCGACCACGCACAAGGCAAATGTCCTTGACCCATCGCGGCAGCAGGTTTCAAACATGTCAGTCGACTGCGTCCTCTAACAAGCTGTTTCAGCTTCGCTCAACATGGCGCCATTTAGTGTGATCCGGGCCATGATTGCTGAGTTTTGTCTCTGGATCGCAATCGCAGTCGTCGTCGTGACAGTCGGCTGAGCAGTACTAGCATAGAGCTCTCCACTGCGGCGGTAGCAATAGCAGTAGGAGTAAGAGTAGGAGTA